GTTATCTTTAACATCCCGAATTTCATAGACGGACCCTCCAGCAATGACTCCGTCCACTCGTCAGTGGATATATATATAACAACTGTTTTCATTGCTTAACGATCATGGAAGCGTGAAACTTGAGTAGAGGTCTCAATTTGGTCTCTTTTTGAGTATTTCGTTGGGCAGAGTATTTGCACTGCCTTGCTCCGTTAGAGATAAACCGCTGTCGTTTACTATTTAGCTTGGTGTCTCTCTTTGAGATTTTTTCTTTATGCTTTCGTTTTTGTTTTTTTTATTTTTTGTGTTGGTTTTTATATATATATATATATATATATATATATATATATATATATTTTAAATATTTTTAAAAAAAAACAACCTAAACCTAAGCAAGTACACTAAGAAATAATCATATAGGAACAGCAATTTTGAATGTTTTATATTCCCTTTGTTTTTAGAAATATTACTATGCACACGTGAACGCTAACACATGACTATATGTATACAACTATGATAATGTATTTGCACACTGAGAAACCTGTTGATATGTACATGTATATGTTTTTATACGGAAAAAGAAGCATACCAATTTGTTTGTTTTTTTGGGGGTTTTTTTTGTTTTTTTTTAGTGTGGAGATGTACAATTAGATAGGTACTTATATGTTTTGCCATAAATATGAAAGATCGGGTAATATTATATGTGTAAAGATATAGATAATGTAATTAAATACTGAGATAGTCTTCGAACGCAGGCATAAGTGGATGCACGGGTGGACATGAGGATAGGGACAAATACGTGGGTAGATATATGTAAGTGCAAATTAACGCATATGTGGGTATGTAGATATTCTGCATATTGCGTATGCATATGCATATGTGTGTGTATGTATATGTATGTATGTATGTATGCATATAGGGGTGTGTGTATGTATGTGTATATGTGTATACGTATGGATGTGTAAATATATATATGTGCGTATGAGTATATATGGATATGCAGATGTCCTTGTGTGTATATGTATATATGTAAGTATAAGGATACATTGAGATAGGTATGGAGACATGTTGATGTGCGTTTTCTCTGCAGGTGTATATGTGTAAAGATGGAAATATACATATATCGTTTCGTGTGAATGTGTGTGTAGGTGTATATAGGAACTCATAGGCATATAAGAAGATATAGGTATGTGGTTACAAATAGGGGTTTAAGACATGTGTAGATAAGAAATTGTAAAAGAAGGGCCTAATTTTCGGCTAGTGACATCTCTTCCAAATTTCTCCTCTAATATTCTCCAATTGGAAGTGAATTTTAAATAGCACGAAGGGAAAGTTTAGATTAGTATTTTAATTGAGATTAAAAGATACTACCCCAATGGGAAAATAAAATTATTTAAATGGGAATAACTGTTGATAATTGGGTACATAAAAACAACCACGAGTTTACTTAATGAACAAAAATCAAAAACAATCACGAGTTTACTTAATGAACAAAAATCAAACGAATAAATGTCAACCTAACAAGCAATAAGATAAAAGTTTTAGTGGAAAAAAGTACTAAATATAAATTGGATTGCTCTTTCAATGTTCTGTCTATGGATTTTTCCAATCGACTGCTTCATAGAAAATACCCAAAACTCCACCGAATTTCAAATTAATTTCTTCGTAGATTGTTTTAAAATTTAGATATTTATCAAACCTTAACCTCCTAAATATGCACGTTAAAGTAACGCGAACTGACAGCGTCTAAGAATTTGAATGAAACCTGTCGTGTAATTTATTGGGATTGTTGTAACGTCTTCCTTTAATGTAGTCCTTATCGCTCACCCCTTAACCACCTTTATCTAGAGACGAGACGCGTTAAATTTGAACAACATCCAGCCGACACACTGGGGTTAAAATAGGAAACTAAAATGATACATATGACACATTTATATTCTCTCTCCCATTCACTTCCTCACTTCGTTAACTTTGCGTATACTTGATGAGGTCCGTAAAAAACGTGTGAATTTCTTTTCATTTTTCATTTCAGCTTTTGGAAGTAAAGTCTGATGATCCAGAACCCTGTTAAAGGGGTTATGGTGAAATAGCTTATTACATGGAATCTTAACGTGGTCTGTCTTTTATTCAAACATATCTGCTCTGAATTTTACATTGAGCTCTCTGGATATCATCCTCCTCAGGTCTACCCATACGGATTACCTAAATTTGCATATATATATATATATATATATATATATATATAATGTATATATATATATATATATATATATATATATATATATATATATATATATATATATATATAATAAAAAGGCTTAAACACTAATATTCCATGGTCATAATTTATTCCATTGGAATCGTAAATACGATCCAATTCATCAGACCTACAAATGCAAAAAAAAAAAAAGAAAAAACAACTCCGGAAATAATAAATAGAATTTAGAGAGAGTGTAAGTATGAGAGTGTGGGACGAATGTTAGAGCTAAAGAGAGGGGTAACAGACGAGAGAAGGTGGGGGATTAAAACTTAACAGAGAGAAGTTTTAGAGAGGTGAGTCAAAGACGGTTTAAGTGAGAGAAATATGAATGTTGTTGGATGTCTAATACATTGAAGATGTAACCGGAAAGGATACATTTTGTGGTAACATACACACACAATAGACGATCTAATCTTAAAGATCAGAAGAAGGGGGAGGGGGAGGAAAGGAAAAGAAAAAGGGGTGTGGAAGTGAGATGGCGCGGGGGAAACTAAAACTGAAGGGCATTTACTGAAAGGGCCGCTGTGTAATTAAGAAAATTTGACAAAATTAATATCGACTCCAGGTTACAAATCAAATATAAGCATATAAAAAAATAAATATAACGATTATCTAATCTAGCAAGGACCTATATTTTTATGTTCAAAAACACATGCGTATACACACATACACAAAAACATATACACGTACATACATACATATAGGCGTGTACCCACATACACACACATATATACCCATGTACACGCATACACATATATCCATATATATATATATATATACATATATTCTCATAAACATACATACATTCACATACACATACATACACACGCATACATGTATACACATACATACATAAATACACACACATACATACATATACACATACATCCATACACCTTTACTCCTACATATATATACACATTTACACACATATATACATACGAACATACACATACGTTCACATAAACATATATACATAAAACCTTACATCTCCATACAATTACACACACCCATCTAAAAAAATAAACAATGTATCTCTATATCTCTCCGTCTAACTATACATACATATATACATACATATACACCCATATACAGATATATATGAGTACATACATGCCAAAACATACACACACATATAAACACATCTACATATACATCTACCTACATATACATACATCCATATACGCATACATATACATACATATACATATATACGCATACATATACATATACATACATACATATACATATATACACTCCTACATATATACACATATACACACATACACACACAGGTACGCACATATACATATACATATAAATCAAAATGTAAAATCTAAAAAAGTAAAATTTAAAAAAAATTGTCTCAAAAAAATTTTTAAATACATAGCGCATCACATAAACATATACAATGATATATATAGATAAACATAATAGTCATTCCATTAAAATGTCATGCCCGATGTTATTGAACCAAGATGGAACTGACATAAGTGACAACATGTTATAAAACGGTGTTTATGTTTTGAATCGTTTCTTATGTCTGCATTTAGAAAATATCTCATTACGAAGATTCAGCAACTCATCTTGATTCTTATCTTTAGTAATAAAAATTTTTTCCGCCATGCACAGATCACACCGACCGTGGAAGTTATTATATATATGTATAATCGAGTTCATATATATATATATATATATATATATATATATATATTAAAGACATTTTTATGTTTAACATTCTTTTTATAGATACAAGTATTTTAGTAAATGCTCTGTTTATAATAAACAGTATTAAATAACATTTACCGGCCTGAATGTCCGAGAAATTTTCATAGAAATTGTTCGTCCTTTGACAGGATTCGAACCTGCATCCTATACGGAGCCATCATTTAGCTTGACGTGCCTAACCTCTCGGCCACAAAGGTTCGTTCGGTTGGCAAGGTCGAATTTACTGCTTATAAACTTCGACTTTGCCTACCGAACGCAATGATCTGAAGTGATATGGCACTTAAAAATACAGGGTGTCCCCAAAAAAAATGACATCATTTAAAATGTGAATATTTAAGTAATTAAATGTCCCAGGCAAACGAAATTAAATAGGCTTAAATAGAACAATAAAAGATTTATTTATCAAAATTTGAACAAGATATTCAAAGCATTGCAGATTTTATAAACGATTTCACAAAGCTTCATAAATGTTCAATATGCGCGCCACCTGTGACACGACACAAGTTAAGTCGATAGTCCAGCTCCTGCCAAACACGCTGTAGCATGTCTTGCGTAACATTTTCCAGCGCTCCAGTGATTCTCTGCTTAAGTCCCCCTAGGCTAGTAGAAAGAGGAGGATACAGACCTGTCCTCTCACATAGCCCCATAGGAAAAAATCACAGGGTGTCAAGTCAGATAAACGTGGTGGCCATTCCAACAGAACATTTTCATTATCACTGGCTTGCTCGCCCTATCTTCCTGGAAGATTCTCATTAAGATCCATCTTCCTGGTAGATTCTCATTGAGTCCGCACGGTCAACTTAGATTTTTTAAAAGATCTTGTTAAAATTTGAGATCATTTCAGTGAGAATTGGCTATGTTATTAGACTACAAAATTATGTCAATTTTTTTTTTGGGGGGGACACCCTGTACATTGAATATTCTTCATTAAAAAATGATTTGCTAGAAAGGAAGAAAGCTACGTTTATTTCTCATTTCACTTTCTAGATATGTAACTGGAACATGTGCTCTTCAAAAACGAATCAAGTGTCACTCACATTGGCCCAGTTGTGTCACTAGCGGAATTGTCAATTTCAACATTAAGGCCAACCATCATTATATTTCGTATGTCTTCTAACATGTCTATCACGGAATTTATTCTCTCAGTGAGCTTCTCTTCGATCATCAATTGATACTGCCTGTTCTTATCGACCTTCATTTTTAGTTTGGTTACCATCTGCCAAGTGGCGTTGATCTTCGCATCTGTGCTTTCCATAGCTGCTTTGTTCGCCAGTTCGTCGTCCAGGGCGCCGTCCTTACGCAAAATCTCGCTGGCTCTCTCAATCAGAATATTCTTTGCGTCTGGATAAACCTCTAACGCTTGTAACAAGTCACTCTTTGACAGAGAGAAGAGGTCAGTGAAGCCGACACTGCGAACGTTGGCCGTTCTTTTGTTGCCGTGTTTGTTGCCTGGAATAGTTAGCATACTGAGGTCTCCGAAAGATTCACCTTCGCCAAATTCTTTGAAGACTCTGGTTAGGTCTTCTGAAACAACCTGCAGTTTTCCCGATTTGACGATATACATTTCTCTTCCAACATCACCTGAAAGAACGCAATAATGTAAGATAAATTTTATAGCGATAAGAAAATAAATGAAATGATAACAAGGAAATCAAAATTTCACCATCTCTAAAATAGATTTATATTCAGAATTCCCAGGCCACAAAACCATATTTCGACCAACTAATCAGAAAGTTTTCATACCTAGGATATAAGGTAGCGAGCCAATCAGAAGCGGAGCGGCACTTTCGGAGCGTATCTCTGGATATGTATATAAGGAGATTATGTCTTGGTAGTTGTTCTAGGGTCTCGCTAGTTTTCTTTCTAGATTGCTTGAAATCCTTCACTTCCTATCTCTACCAATCTTTTTCGGTAATATGTGGCACTCTTTCAACTTTTATAACTTATATCGTTCTCCTGCTTAGTTAGCATCAACAATTGTTTTTTTTTTGTTTTTTTTTGTCAAATTTAAACTAATTTCTTTTGTTTTAAACACGATGTTTTCGCAAATTACATCTGAAACCCTTACTTAAATTTTTATACTGTGTGTGTGTGTGTGTGTGTGTGTGTGTGTGTGTGTGTGTGTGTGTGTGTGTGTGTGTGTGTGTGTGTGTTGGAAGATAAACGTCAGTCGGTGGAGAGTTTGGGCAAAATGGTCGCACGGCGGCGCGTTACATTTCAGTTCTCGATCTCGTCGGTGTTGATCGAAAACTGGGAAAGGGCGCGATGTATGCTCACAAGGTCACGCTACGTCGAACGTGAAACCTGTTTACAACTATATTACATGTAGTTATTTTATTCATCTGTTCGTAGGTAAGTAATACTTGAAACAACTTCTTCCCCTATCAATTCCTCACCCATTTACTCATACCGACGTAGTGGTTGGCAATACGAAATGGAGGCCTCGGAACCGCGACACGGACACGCCCATCTTCCGCCAAGGGTAAGCCAACACTCTCCCCAATCCCAAACATGACTGTTAATATATACCGTGAGTCTGATTAACTAGGAGATAGATAGACAGCCTTTCCCCGCTTCCCTTTCGGCCTTGTGCTACAAATATATGCATTCATGTGTTAAATAAACAATACACCATCGGTGTGATTCTAAAAGGGCTTAAGTTGACATACGCCTTTTTGAATGTTTATTTTTCTTTTTTTTTTAATGAGCATTAAACCGGTTTCCTCACCGTGCTTTTCTGATGAAACACCCAACAGAATTAAAAAAAAAACCTGTCAAATGGTAGATGAGAGTCAATGGCCATATATCACAATATTGTAGACCGTACTCCATAACTATGTACACAACCGATGCAGTAAACACGCAGCATCGCTGGGGGGAGGGATGTCCTAGACAGAAATCAACGGCTAGTGCGGAGGACCTCCCGTGTCCATAAATAAGGTGTACATTCAAGCTGGAATACATCGGTTATGGTTTGATCTGAAGAGAGATGGGCTCCACCAGATCTACTTGCCAATGACATGCTAGGCATAAATGAATATCCTCCGGCTTTCAAACCAGATATGTGGAAGGAACTGATCAGGTGCTCAGCTACGCAGTGACTCCACGACCATACCCGGTCATGGGACAGATGATCATGACTCACGTAGTAGGTTATATAACAATAAAATCACCTTGTATACACTAATGAACAGACAGATCTTTCAACATATCGATATCAATATGGGTCATGTAATATCAAATATCACCACCATATTCATCTGAACTAAACCAAAAAATGAACATGAACGAGGAACTTACATTTGATTCTAAAATACCTGTGCATATAAATGTGCTTAACTTCAGTCCATAAAACAAATTGACAGAGCAAATCAAATCCGATTTTCTATAATGAGTTCGATCCTCATTGAGTGAGCACCATAATTGTGGCCTTGTGCCAGCTAAGCTTAGCTGTATAAATATCAACAGGATATCCCCGTAGAACAGTGTTAGCAAGTTAGTTCGGCAGATTATTAATAATATAATATTAATAATATCAGTTCGATGTTCATTAGATGAATACCTGTAACAAGGATAAAAAAATCATCTTTTCCTCTCCAAGAGGTGAGCTAGGATTTTACAAGCCACGATATCGAAATGGTAAAATTGAGCATAAAATTACTCAGAACGAAAATTCCCACATACCAACGACACAATCCCGAGGAAACATACAATCCTATGTGACACTGAAAAAAATAAACACCCTCAGAGTTAATGATTAAGAGCGAAGCAATCCAATAAGACGCACGGGGTTAGTAAGTGTTAGAGAGAATGAGAAAACAACTATTAAGGAGAGAGGAAATAAAAGAATAAGAATTAAAAATAGAAGATAACGATTGATATTGCATTTAAATTTTTGAAGATCAAGGTTGACTGGGAAGAAAAAAAAGCCAGAAGAGAGTTCCACAAGCGAGATGTGTGATAAAAGAAACTGTCAGTATAGAACTAACTGTAAAATGATTAGACCTTGCCACAAATCTAGTAATACGCTTATATTCATAAAGTCTAGGTTCATTAGAACAATTAAAGTGAAAGTATGTATAGAAAAGGCAAGCTACGTTACGGCGGTGGGAAAGTAACTGATGGGGAGATGCCAGGTCAGGACCAATAACATTGCAGATTATATTTACTAGCAGAACCAGTGAAAATTTCACGATTTTCTATTTGAATTTTCGGATCTATCATAATATTTAATGAATAAATATACTCGTTGCGAGTTCTACGATTATAAATAACTTGAAACGCCGATTCTCGTACGATCACCGAAGTTAAGTAACGTTGAGCCTGGTCAGTATCTAGATGGGTTACCACTTGGGAATACCAGTTGCCGTAACCTTGAATGTGCGGGTGGTGTAACGGATAACGGCTCGGAATTGGAAATCAGATTGCCGAGTTCTAATTCCAGTCAGGTTCGTTGTATTCATTTATGCGCAAATCCCCTGTAGAAAAGTATGAGTATACGTCTTCTTCCCCCCTGCTATGAGTTAATTAGTAGGACTTGTATCAGTAAATCATGATTATCTCCAAAAATTCTTAAAAGCTAAAAAATATTTTCTGGGTTTAAATAACCGACGAAAGGTTGATAAACCATAAAGAAAAACAATCAATTAATCTACGACTATGAAGATAATCCTATTACCTCGTTAAATATTTGAACTTAAAAACTTTAATAAAATATTGTAATATCAATCATAAGTATGAATACAGGTCATTATTTAAAGAAGTAAGAGAGTACAAATGGAAAGATTTGAAATGAACGCGTTTTTTTTCCATTTCATTTAAACAGACATTGACCCCATGAGAACGTTATCGGTCCCTCTAGCTTAAAATAGTCCATACTTTATGTGGGGTACTGGCAGGGCGTAAAGAAAGCGCGAACTAAGGAGCGAACCAAATTATATATTTACTTTTTTTTTTATTGCGGCTTACTGGGGCTGCAAATTAAAATCGTAAATTGCATTGGAGGAAATTCCTCCCAGACAAATTTTTCCCAAGAACTACGCCTTTATGGAAATTAAACTCCGGTGTTGGTGCTTCCATGAACATTACAATATTAACCTGTTCAGATCAAGTTGTCAATCATTATCTATCCTCCCTATCTTCATAAACTTATTCGGGCCTTCCCTTACATTTATATTACATTCAGTAAAACCTCTACCTTGAGTGGACCTTGAGCCTTGTATTGGGTGAACTTTAGAATATAAAAAAATATATATAAATAAAATAAAATACAGTTTGTGTTAACGAACACTCTTGGAGAAAAATAGTCATTTAAATGCGGTTTTGACTAACCTTTGCGACAAACGAAATCCCCCGGACTGAAGACTTGAAGTTGAAGTTTAAGCACAAGTTCATTTAAGAGTCCTGGCTCACAGTCCTGAAAGAGACGCACTTTTTTTAGTGTTTCCAAGTGAACCTGCATAGCTATTGCGCCCTGCAGATTGTATGGTAAACAGGTTAAGGCTCGCGTCTCATCCAGCGTCTGGCGCGTCTGCCAAGTATAATTAAACCAATTGATGACCCGGTCTTGCAATTCTTTACACACTCGGCGCGCTACCATATATTGCTTCACGTCGTCCATTCGCTGACGAAACTCATCTCGAACTACGTTGGCATTGTTGATCATCGCTCCGACGTTACCGAAGATAGAAGCGAAGATAAGCACACCAACCATACAGCAGATTATAACATAGATGAAAGAAACGGTCTGCACTGGCGGTTCTGTATCGCCGATTGTGGTCAGCGTCAGCACCGACCAATATAATGTGACTACATATTCATGTAGAGTTGATTGATAGATGTGATCGCTGGGCAGAAGGGCGAAATTGACCATCTCGTTTGGGTAGACCCAAGTGTCTGAGCCGAGACCCAACCATCTGCTAATGGCATAATAGATACACGCGTTCCAATGAATGATCAACATGACGTAAACGAGAAGATGAATGATACGGACGAGATTTGGGAATGACGTCCGTGTTTCGAGAATGTCAAAGAATTGGCGCATTCTGTAAATCCGTAACATTCTGTTGACACGCAGTATGGCGGCTCCAACGCCAAGCGCGAGGTATAAGATATCAGTTGGAAATATACTCAAGACATCGATTCTGAATTTAAAAGATTTCCTGTAGTTTAACCACAGTTTTTTCGGGTCCATCACAAATATGCCGTCTTCGATGAAACCTGTTAAATAAAAAATAATACACAAAAGAACAAATCAATAAGATATTTCTCTTCACATATTTAGAGATTTCACGGCTTTTAAGATTAATATATTTAACTAATATTAAATGACAAAATAGAAAGACATCCTATATTACGCATTTCGACATTCGGAGTGACTTCTTCAGGCTAGTCTTAACAATGGAATCATGAATATGTAATGGGAGGGAAGGAAATACAAAAACGTCGGTAATAATTCTACATCGAGAGAATGTTGAAGATACAAAGACGCAGTGGCGAACTGACCAGGGTATCAGCTTGCCTGATGTCAATTGGGCCCCTGATCGAGTGATCCCCCTATATCAAATAAAAATGCAATAAAGAAACAAACACAAACAACTGTTTTAGTTATAAATAGGAATGAAACTTCATAAAGTCATCTGTACATTTTTAGACAACTTTTTTAAAGCTAAAGATCATAATGATAAGGTTAAGAAATTTGCTGTCTGAGGAGAATTCGGAATCATACGTGTTGCTATCCATCGAGAAGGAATTATTAGATAAATTGGATGCAGAAGCAATTACTGGCAGATACGCGCAATCATCTAGGGAACGCAAACGATAGCTTGATTTCTATAGAAATAATGAATTTTTATTTATTAATCTAACATATTTTTATCATTTTAAATCTTAAATATAGTCGACTGCATGCAATCCTCTATTGTGCTTTTGAACTCTGTTACTGTGTAAATTGTGCAGTAAACTATTTTAAAATATCAACCAATTATTTCAAATCTTAAATAAATAAAAAATTAACTTATAACATTCTGTATTAACATTTGGTATCTATTGCCAGTAATATATACAATACGTCCACTGTAATTACTATGAAATACACATTCTTTCCACAAAAGAAATTTTAATTGTACCCTTTTTTCCATATATATTTTTTGAAAATTTTATTCATTCGTTATGAAAATTAAATGATAACATTGTGGGTGATCCACCTTTGTCTCCTGGCAACTAATAATTTTAGACCCAGTCTACTAGTCCAAGGAGGCTTAACTTTAAAATTATTTTTTTGGTGTCCGATGTGTTTAAATGCACAACATAGCCATCCTAATTCAACTTGTTACCGTGTTTGCTTTTTGTTTTTATCGTTATTAATTTGAAATATCCCACGTTGCAATAGTAATAGTTCTGCATAGAAAGGTGATATGCTGTGTGATATTGGACGTCAGTTTACTATGAAGGTTCAGAAATTAGTGAACTTTCTAAATATTCGCCTTAATAAATGACTTTCACTTTTAATTAAAATTGCATTCTTTAAGTCGAAATTACGGTCAGAGTTATTAGTAATGGATTGAGCGTCTTGTTTCATAAAATATTCCCTATTTGTTCATACATGCTTTTATTTAAAATCCTAAAAGTTTCATGTGTGTATTTCTTTATGTCCTTCGTGGATGAGTCGGTATAAGCACGTCGGATCTAAGAACGGTTTTCCCTGTCAAGGGGAACGCAGGTTCGAATCTTGTTGGAGAGTGGGGGGGCATATTTTTCTTCCATTAGATGTATGGAATATTAAAAAACGGTAGACGAAAATAAATAACTATAGCGTTTAATAAATAAGCGGAGCTGCTACTCAAATAAGAGTATTCGCTAAAAATAACGTTTAAGTGATAAAATCTGCCAGATTAATAAATAAAAATCCTTTACTGCTTTAGAAATTGCTTTGTTTGCGTTTGGATACGAAACTGAACAGATTTGGAATTTCGAGAATCTATGATGAGAGGGTTTTCGCTTAAGGGCATTATTCAGCCTTGCTTTATCAGCAATGCTCTTTGTGGCACAGTCTCTAATGTAAATTCCTGTGTCAGGTTTTAGGATGTTATTATGTTGTTTGGTGTTAATTAACTTATTAATTACTTTTGATGTTTTTATTGATTCCGTCGGTAAAAACATTTGTCTGAAGAAGTCCTTTCGAAGGACGAAACTCGTCGCATAAGATTTTTTTTCTTTTTTTCATTCAATTACCTACTATTAGTTTGTTATATAAGGTGTGTATATCATGTTCTCTCATATTTAACTGTTACAGTATTTTGGGCTGGTTTAAATTAACGTAAAGGTGATAATTAAAAAAAGGTGTTTCTGTCTTAAATAGAATAAAAAAAATAGTAGAATCTACCTTATAATTAAAAAACACGATGATTCTAACAATTATTGATTTTCAAATCAATAAAGAAATTCAGAATAATATTGTCGAAATTGAGATGACGATTGCAAAATAACAACCAATGAAACTGAACTACTGTACACTTCTACTCGAGATCGGAATAGACTGTGTAGGGACATTATTATTATAAATAATAATAATAATAATAATAATAATAATGAATATTATAAATAAAATAAAACAAATAGCTTTAAAACTTAAAAATAAGAAATAAAAATAATAAAAATTCTCCCAGCAGGCAACAGAAACTGTTCCTGGTGGAAAAAGCGGACTTCCCGCCAACAGATGTTGCATTCAGTCTCTTCGCTACTGACTGTTGAACGGATAAGACATCTCAATTCCTCTCTTCAGGACATTGCTTGTCATTATATGAAGTGACTTCTTTTTTATCACATTCAATCATAAAACTCTTGTATCCAAAAATACACACACCAGTAGACAAAAAAAATTGTATGGATTTAATTTACAATTTAACATGCTTTTACTGTTATCTTTGTGTATGTTTTGATTCCTGTGAAGTATGTTTTTATTTCCTGCGAGCGTGAGGCCATTTCTGTTGCTATGATGTACGTGACTCCACACAATTTGGTAACCCCGACATATATAAAAAAAATATCATATTCACTACAACTGTTCCGCTCATATTTTTTTAGTTTTCTTTCTTTATATTTTATAAAGTCTTACATTTTTTATCATTTCACCCCAAGCAAGGCAATAAAAGCAACAAGTATACACTCTCTATTTCTTTGCGCATTTGCGTTGATTTTATTTGATTTGTTTGTTTAACGGCATATCAACTCCCTATGGGTCATTTAAGGCCAAAATTTAACTTTCTTGTGAACTTTGACGTAATAAACATAATATATGTTATTCTGCTTTCACAACTGAATACATGGTAGATATTCAGCTTCTGTGCGTATATATGTTTGTGTGGACATAATTAGAGGCGGTTATATACTTGTTTTATGTTGTAGTTTTTTTGAAGTTATATTTTGAAATACAGTTTTCTTTAAGAAATTGTAGGATATTTTATGGATTAATGTCATGGAATACTTCTTTCATGTTGGATGTTTAGTAGTATTTTAAACGGATTTGGGTGAAGTTGCTACAGTTTGTTTACAGTATTTACATTGTTCGGACTGTTGTCCTTATCTTTATTGTCATATTCACGACGTTTCGGCCGTTGTACGATCCGTCCTTCTTCAGGTGATTGGAATTTCGAGCCGAATCCTTTATTTCGTCCACTGGGGTAGATTGTTCTAGTTCCACGTGCCATGCTTCTTCCGGATATCTCTGTTTCAGTTATTTTCCTTTAACTCAACTCTCTAAGTTTTTATTCGCCTCTGCTCTAGCCAGGTATTGAACTCACAATCCGTTGAGTCAAATTACCAACACGTTTATCATTTTGTTAGTATGTGCGTATTGTTAGTAATTTTACTATAAATATATCGTGATGGTAATTTTTATATATAAATGTATTGCTGGTATTTTTACTTTAAAATGTATTGTATTTTTATACATTCATAGTCTTTTTGTTTGGGGGGGGAGTCACTATTTGGCTATAATTGGGACCCTAACAGGCGCTACCACCCCAGGTCAGGGTGTACCTGGGAACAACAGCAATTAAGAGGTGATTGCACGCTCTACAAAACCTCCATTCTCCCCATCCCAGGCCTGCGCACTTGTGTGTATTGGCATTAAATATGTATGTACGATGAAACTTGGTACTTTTGTATGCATGTGCCATAGAGGACGCCCAAAGTACAAAGTTAGTCAAAACTTCAGTCTTTTCAGGTTTTTTTATCATCTCGCGCCAAGCAAGGCAATAAAGCCACTAAGATGCATGGGATTACTGAGAGATAAAAGAAACAGAGAGGGGATTAATAGAACATGATTCTTGGAAGACTACAATTGACACTACATTTTAGTGAGACAGAAAAGTACTAGGAAGAGAAAGAAGTCAAATAGTTATGCATTGACACCAAAAAGAAGAGGTATTGAGCAAATTTCCATGGAAAAATTAGCTTGGGGTGGTGTTGTAATGGAATGTCCCACTCTCCCTATCGCCTATTGTGGACTGACTATATCGGGCTTGCTTCGGCAATTAGTTGGAGATTCGTCTCCAGCTGTGCCGGTCGAACTCTCTGCCTTCAGACAGAGGAACCCAGATAAGGCTATGCCGAAGGGCACAGTCTCGTGTTGGGTGGTAGACAGCTACCCGACCCCGTTTTTACGGGATCTACAGGGGATTTTTGCCCGACCCTACAGGCTCGGTTTTGCCTCGCATAAAAAAAAACGGCCTTGTGCTACATCCTGCCTCGCGAGGAGGAAAGGTAAATAACCTTGCTTCGGCAATTAGTTGGAGTTTCGTCTCTAGCTGTGCTGGTCGAATTCTCTGTCTGAAGGCAGAGAGGAACCCAGACAAGGCTATATGGGGTGGTAGACAGCTACCCAATTCCGTGTATACGGGGCCTACGGGAAAATTTTGCCCGAGCCTATGGGTTCAATTTTGCCCCGTATTAAAAAACGGCCTTGTGTCACACCATGCCTCGCGGAGGAGGTAGGGTAAATAACCTTGCTTCGGGAATTAGTCCAGAGTTGGAGATTCGTCTCCAGCTGTGCTTGTCAAACTCTTTCCGGACAGAGAGGATCTCCAGACGAGACTCTGTCGAAAGGCAGAGTCTCGTCTCGGGAAACATCTACCCGACCCCGTTTTATACGTGGAATTTTTGGCCGCGCCAACGGGCTCGGATACCCAACATTAAATTCGGCCTTGTGCCACATCCGA